GAACCAGGTGAACATCTCCAAAACAGGTTGGTAGCTGACTTCAGTTCAGTTGACAACTTCGCTTTGTTGTTCCTCACGTAGGGTACAGGAAGTATGATAAGGAAGGTGAAGTTTTTACTTCATAGTTGACAGGCATTGAAGTGTTTGTTTCAGGGTAATGAAAAATGCTATGATCCATTGACTAACTTGGGAGAACACAATACATGGGCATTACTGTCAGTTATTGAAACTAACTGTAAATTGTTCAGATTGATATATTCCTTATGGCTGATGAACAGCTGACTTGACAGCCACTAATTGAACTTGGCAAACTAAGTGATCTTAACTGAGAATCTTAACTCTTAAAGGAGTCACTTATCTGAGCCATTCATGTGCCTTCATCCTGATTGATTTATGTACTGTTTTAGAAATACCCTTCTGTTTGTGGTGTTAAAAGTGATTTGAATGTAAACATTGGAGATTAAATTATGAAAATCACTTGGTTTTTTTTCACTTTTACTCTCCCCTATCTACAGATGAAGCGTTTTTTGACTCTGACAATGACCCTGAAAAGTGCTGCTTGCTCTTACAGTTTATTTTGAACTGTTTGTATAAAATTTTCCTATTTGATACTCAGCATTTTATCAGTAAAGAGAGAGCAGAAGCCTTAATGATGCCCCTGGTGGACCAGGTAACCAAATAGAACTATCTTTTTTGACAAATGATGTGGAAACCACCATCCCTATTAAAGTTTAGTAGATTTTATTTCTACTACAATTATAGCTGCTGGGTTTTCTTCTCCAGGCATTTTTTAATGAAATTTTTATTTCAAAATTGATTTTTCATTTTGAATGGATAGAACTTCTCTTCATAGTGTCGTGTACCAAGTTTTACTTTGAATTTTTCAGAATACAAGGTATCTTGGTTAGATTTTTAATTTTTAAATTTCTAAAATTAGATTTATCAAGAATGTTTTAGGACTTGGCTGCTCGATGGAAGAACTCCTCTCAGCTGTTCTGCTGGAGGGAAAGGAGTGATGCTAAGGGTTAGGAGAATCTGAGCTCCAAAAGGTGGTAAATTTGCTCTAGAGAGTACTAGAATTACACCTTGTTTTTTGAACCTGTTGCTGTCACATTGGGTATTTTTTCAAACCCAGAAAGGAGACTGGTTGCTCAAAGTCTTCATTTCCCTCTTCATAGCTGGAAAACAGGCTAGGAGGGGATGCGCACTTCCAGGAGCGAGTGACGAAGCACCTGATCCCCTGCATCGCGCAGTTTTCAGTGGCCGTGGCAGATGACTCTCTTTGGAAACCACTGAACTACCAGATTTTGCTCAAGACGAGAGACTCTTCACCCAAGGTAGGAGCTTTGGTTGCCAAGTACCAAAGCTGTGTGTATTCACCATAAAACCCAAGCAGTCTTAAAGCAGTCATGGATATAGGGCCATGGTAAACTGGCAGGGACATGCTGCTTGTCTTGTAGAACTAGAGGTTGCTCTGTTCAATCTGAAGATTGAACTTGAGAATTTTTTGGTTTTTTTTTTTTTAAAGGGTATTTATAAATAATAGTTCTTTCCCCATCTCCACAGTGTATTAGACACAAGTACTAACATTTTCTAAATACTTTTAAATCTTGAAAAAACCTGATGTAATTGTTTCTTAAGCACCATTTAAAATGTCCTTGTGCTCCCAGAGACAGTCTTTCAGTTTGTCCACAGAATGTTCCTCTGAGTTAGAGCAGTGTATTATCTCCATTGTAGATACCAGAATAACGCAAGATAAGTAGTGGCAGTTGCCGCTCAATGACGACATATGCGAGAATGTATAGAAGTTAAAACTCCATGGCCTCAGTGTCATTGTTTTCAAACTGGTTAGCAGTGAATCACCATTTCTTTAATTATCATACAAGAGTCTTAGTGAATAAAACAGACCAAAGCGGAATTTTACTAAAAGATTTATTACTTGAACTTCATCATAACATTTATTTATTAGGACAATGAGGCTATTTTCACAAACCCCTAAATTTTAAATTGCAGTTCTTGACAAAGTTCTAGCATTACATGTATTTTAATGTTTAGTTTTGATTGTACAACATCAAGAAAGTCTGGTTTGAACATAGGTAGTTACAGATGCTTTTTAAATAAGTTATTTTGCTGTATCCAAATATTTTTAAAATTATTTAAATTATTATTCCAAAACTGGAAATAGGACTAGTACAGCTTTGGTTTCAAAGTGAATCACTGATAGTGCCCAATAACTGCTTGCATTCCTTGTCATAGATTAGTCATGTTGAGAGATACCCAAACTTTTTTTAAGTTCCCAGACTAAGGGATCCCTGGGGGTGGCGCAGCGGTTTGGCGCCTGCCTTTGGCCCAGGGCACGATCCTGGAGACCCGGGATCGAGTCCCACATCGGGCTCCCAGTGCATGGAGCCTGCTTCTCCTTCTGCCTATGTCTCTGCCTCTCTCTCTCTGTGACTATCATAAAAAAAAAAAAAAGTTCCCAGGCTAGAACATCATAATACATTGTTTTTAATTCTCTACTGAGCATGAGACCAGAGCCAGTGCCCAAGCCCCTCACACAACTGTAGTAGTGACACAGAGTTCTGAGGGAGGGATCCTGTCTGAGGTGGCCAGGGATGCTTTTTGACGAGGCTTGCATCATTTCTGATAGCCAGGTGAGCCAGTAAGTCCAGTGCACATAAATTTGGAATGACACACTTGAGTTTGTGTATAGCTTTTTTTTTTTTTTTTTTTTTTTTTTAAGGAAAATGTGGGAGTGGGTGGTGCAGTCAGGTAAGCGTCTGACTTGGGTCTCGGCTCAGGTCCTGATCCTCAGGGTTATGAAACTGAGCCCCACATCAGGCACCGTGTTCAGTGTGGAGTCTGCTTAAGATTCTTTATCCCTTTCAGGTTCGATTTGCTGCTCTGATTACCGTGTTAGCACTGGCTGAAAAACTAAAGGAGAATTACATTGTCTTGCTACCAGAGTCCATTCCTTTCTTAGCTGAATTGATGGAAGGTAATTCGTAAACTATTAAGAAATAGAGTGAAATTCTGTGAAAATGTGCCCAGTGATAATGGAAATGTGGATTGTATATGACAAGCCTGGGACTTCTGTACTCCACCTGCCCATATCTCCCTCTGCAGACACAGGAGGTTGAGTTCTTGTTGGGGAGTGGGTGGGTAGGTGACCACCCCAGGATTATTGAAACTTTGTTTACAGTGTAATCTTCACTACCTTTACTTTTGTGTTTATGATAGTAAAAACAAACTACAGTATTGTTTTTCATTAAATCTGTACACTTATATACTTGAAAATTTTGTTACCCAGACATTGGGTTATGGTAGCAGAATGTCTGGTGCCATTATAATTGCAGTAGATTAGCTGCCTGTTAATAATGACCAACATCAACTGTGCTCTGCAAGGATCTCATTTAATCCTCATGATGGGCTGTATGCCATTATCCTTGTTTTAATGAAGAAACTAGAGGATTAAATTGATAAAGTGAGTGTGACAGGTAGAAGCGGGGTTTGAATCCCGGTTCATGCAGTTCTGGATGTACCACCAAGTGCCACCATGTACCCTGAGAAAGAACAGCTCATCTGATGAAGCAGGGATGATGGAAGCTGGTAGACAAACACTTTTTCATATTAATGGTTCACTGCTTTTCTAAAAGTACATTCATCTTGGTTTCTTACGTCCTGGAGGGGTATCACTAGGAATTTGGAATTTTCATTAGCAAACTGCTATTTTGGGGGCTCCAAGTCAAAGACTAAGAAGGGAACAAAGGAAGGGGCCATGTAGAGGAGGGGTTCTATGATGCTCTCTGCAGCACTGATGGGTTTCATTGCCCTCTTTTGACTGAACAATGGCCAGAGAATGGAAGACATGAAGAATTAGACTAATGATAATTGAAGCAGAAGATTCAGTTTATATTTTTGTTTTTCAGATGAATGTGAAGAAGTAGAACATCAGTGCCAAAAGACTATTCAGCAACTGGAAGCTATACTGGGAGAACCACTCCAGAGCTACTTCTAAAACTTTGGGGTGTTGGTGTTTCTTACTCTGTTCAGAGGTCAGATTTACTTTTCATATTTTTATTTTGGGTGTGGTACCATATTACTTTTGGTACCCTGACACCTGTCTAGGCTCCTTTATGAAAGTCCCACCTGGTTTGTACTACTATAGAAGCCTCCCCTGCCACTTGTACAGAATTGCAATAAGAATAAATGATACCTGCTATTTTTATACAGACTGCTGTGTTTGTTTAAACATTTGTTATAGGGCATCCCTGGTGGTGCAGTGGTTTAGCACCGCCTGCAGCCCGGGATGTGATCCTGGAGACCCAGGATCGAGTCCCACATCAGGCTTCCTGCATGGAGCCTGCCTCTCTTTGCTCTCTCTGAATGAATAAATAAATCTTTAAAAATAAAAAGATAAAAATAAATAAACATTTGTTATAGTCTTTTCTGGTTGAAGTTACTGGTATTATGGATATGTTTAATTTGAGCACTCAAAGGTAAAAGTACCTCATTTCAACTGTAAAACCTTAACTCTCCTGGAAACGGATGTCTTATGTACATGGTATCCATGTCAGAGATTTCACTCATGGTAGTTCCTCAAGAAAATTGAGTTACTCAGCAACAGTGCTTTGGACTATAAAGCTATTTGGCATATATTTCATTTTGGGTAGGTGACACTTCAGCCTTGTGTGTGACCACAGAGGAAATTAGTTCTGGAACGTATTTCCCACTTAGGACTGTGATTGTTGTCTTCACCCTTCAGTCTTTGGGGGGGTGGGGGGGTGGAGGCAGTGGGCTGTGTAGGCAGATCCTACAAATAGAAAAGGCTCAGAAACAGAAGGTGGCATGACTCCTCCAGAATTAGAAGTGTTCAAATTCCACTGGTGGTAATGAAGAATTACTAGTATGAGAAGGTTTCAGATTTCTTTGAAAGCTTTGAACGCTTTGAAGTTTTCTAATTTCTGATGTCATGTCAAGTAAAAACTCAAAATTAAATCTGCATTTAAGGCATTTTATTTACTTACACCTTTTTTAAAAACTTAAAGCATCTAAGAACTGTCCCATAGAATGTTTAGTTTGAAATTCTTTGTTCTAATTTAATGTAGAAATTTACTGCAGAATTGTGACAAAATACTAAATTGCAGCGTTAGAGATAACAGCTTGCTAGGAATCTGCATTCCCATCTAAGAAATGTCTTGATAAGATTACTCAGTAAGTACTGACAGCTTCTTTTCAAAGCACATTGATATTTTATATTCTTTCCGTCAGAGAATCCATTTTATGTCTTTAGTAATACCTCCACATGACACAAAAGTGAACATCAAGTGTGTTTAGAAATGAAAGGAAACGATGTACATGGGCTTTTATTTTTCCTTTAAGAGCCCCTTAGTCTGCATCTCGTTCAAGCCCTCTAATGTTCTTTATGGAGGGAAAAACCCCTGGGGGATTCCTTCTTCAGTTTTCCCAGTGAAAGTTAGGACCCCAACTCTGCTCCCCACAAGCTTGGCAAGACGCAACATAATAAATTAACATGAATAGAAAAGAATTAAGTGCCAGAAGCTTCTACACTGAGTACTTATAAAAAATCAGATTGCTAGTTGTCTATATGGGTACAAATAATATCTAACTAAAATCTTTAAGGAAAATATTCCTAAACACTGGCAGCATATTCAGCCCAACAACTGAACATGATAAAATGATCAAACTGACTTAGCTTTTTTACCTCCCCACTCCCAAGCGTCTGAAATTTCCTATAACAAGATCTGACCTGTAAGAATTGTACAAAGAACTGCCAACTCGCTTCAAAGAATAATAGGAAAAAATTACAGAAATGCAAAAATTTAACTTGCTGATACAGGTTTGATTTTAATCACTGAACAATGTTTTGATCTCCATTGCTAATGATGAGGGACCAATCTTTAGAACAGAGAGGTGGAGTTTATTTGCATGCAGACAAGAGATTTTTATACTGCCTCTCTCTACCTCATGATAGCGCCTATTTTACAGTCATGAAATCTGATCTTGACATTGCTTTGTTACCCATAAACATTTTACAGATTGAAATCATCTACCTTAAACTTTCTACTGGAGTACATGTAGACCTCTTGACTCACCCTGAATTCAGCTACTCTAAAGCATTTCTGGTACAGACATTGGCAGCATAGACTGACCTCAAGTTAATTTTAATACCATTGGTTTTGTTTTGCTGCATTGTTTGCCTTAATCTTTGTACTGTGTTCAGATTTCATAATGTTAGAGCTAGATGTAAGGCAACATCAGTCCTTTAATTACTGGATATGACTGAACTCTGGGTTTGAAAGCGATCGCTAGAGAAGTAATGTCTTGTAAATTAGTATGGAGGTAACTTCACAGCTCAGTAATTGTCTCTGGTTCCTTTATGCAGTTAATGCCCGTAGAAAAGTCAGTGGCACGATGGCAGAGCACAGAGGATTCTGAGCTCAAGAGAACAAGGAACAGAGTGGTATTGTGCTCCACTGTATACATTTATCCCCAGCTCTAGCACATTGCTGGCAAAAAAAATAAGTGCTCAATATATGTTAGCTTCTATATGAATAGATACTTGTTAAATGTGAAGCAGATTTTAAAAAGAAGAGGCCGGGGTGGGAGAGAGAACAGAAATGCCTGAAAAATGACTAAGTTACTGTTGCCTCAGATTTCCTTATTCTGTGCTAGATAGACAAAGCCACACTGCATGGCAAGGACTGAGAATACCTAGTAGGATTTCATATTATGCAAGCTCATTTTAACAAAATATACGTATAAACAATATAATAGATGCATTTTAACGAAGCCAGTGTTAACATAAGACATTTTGTATTTCAGTTTTTGTAGCAAGCATGTCAGCTACCAGCTCCTTACTTCCAGTAAATGAATATCTCCATCAATTTCCAGCGTGTCAATATTGCTAAGCTCTTTAAATCTGTGTTTGTACTCCAGGCTGTGTACACCATTTACCGCAACCTTGAATTCTCTAACATCACAATAAATGATCATCTGGAAGGAAAGTACGACAACATTAGTGGCTCCCTCAGTTCAACACTTTGTTTCTTGCACACTTCCTGGATATCAAAAAGTAAACCCACTGGGTTTGCTTTCTACAGAGACACTCTCCCAGCCTGCTGCTGCTAACTTCTCTTCTAAGACTCTTAAGTTTATCTGGTAGCAGCACCTTCTGCTTTGTCCCACTCAGAGAAGTAACTGAGCACCCTGTCCCCAGGGCCTGAGGCACCTTGTCCCCAGAGCCTGAGGCCTCTCTCCTGCCCCTTGCTCCCAGCAAAGTGGAAAATTGCCCTCCACCCATGTTTGGGAACTGTAATGACATAGGAAAACTGCCATATTGACACGGGAGCAGATTCCATAGGTGGGAAACCAAGGGACCTGAGCCATGACTTTTTTGCCTTAAACTCTAGGGTCTTAGACAAACCACGCATCAAAAATTTCAGAAGTTTAGGGCACCCTCTAGGACTGCCCAGCTGTGTGGTGACTGTGACTTCCATCCCAGCTCAGCACATCTTGGTCTCCATCCGTTTCCCAAAAGCAGTATTCTGGGCAGTAATCCATGGAGGAATTAGCTTTCTGGCAAAGATTTAATTCAGATTCATGACTGGTGTTAGCCTTTCATGTCAGCCTTTCACAGAGTTGTCTGCCTAAAACTCAAAATAGTGAAAAACAAAAAGTACAACCCTTTTAAATCACACCTAACACTCATACTTCTGATAACACATTCCTGATGCCAGTCTGGCCACAATTCTACCATTTATTCTCCACCCACACTAAAAAGACCAGTTTGGTGAACCTGCACCATGTTCTCCCTTCTGCCTCTTCCCTGTGTCAGGGCTTCAGAACAGCCCTGCTGCTAACTCCGTTTCCATCCCCAGGGTCTAGACTGAGGCAAAATCTAAATCTGTAAAGACAGTGTGCAGGTTATTTTGCTTCTTTATTTTGCTTCTTTATTTGTAAAAGGGGCTGCTGGGGAAAATTCCATGGATAGAAGAGCTAACTAACAGAAACTGGGGCTACATAGAGAATTGGGAAAATATCCATAACCTGGGATTCTATCATCCCAAAAAGTGGTGGAAATCCCAGTTTCAACCAGGTGGAAGAAACCCTCAGTAACATACATTTAACGAAATCTCAAGAGAACATAAAGCACAGCCTAATGCCCAGAAGGAAAAACAAGTTGGCATCAGAGGGGTATACTGGGAAGAGTCCATCAGTCACCCTTATTGTACCAGAGCAAGCATGGTGCCACTGCCTCACAAATGGAAGGAAATGACTATAGCCCAGGGAACATACTGCCGCAAAACAAGTACACAACTTGCAGAAAACAGACCCATAATCTCTAAGAAAACATGGAACAACAATCCTTTACAACCTATCTGATGTTCTAGAATAGCTCATAACAACATTATAGGATGATAAAGAAAAAATACAAAACTGAAAGCTATTTCTCAAAAGACTCTAGTAGCTGGAACTAATAAATGAATTTGAAACAACAGAAAATAGTGGTTAATATCAAAGTAACAGTATAATGAAATAATCTGAGAATCTAAATGAAAGCATATTAAAAAGATTGTTTTTTCTCTGCTTCCAACTCCCTATCACTACAGAAAACTTAAAAACAATGGTCCAACATGAGAGTAATTACTGTTCCTGAGGTAGAAAACTAACAAAAGGAAAAGATGATTATTTAAAAGAATGCTTGTCCTTTTCTATTTTAATATAGAGCTAAACTTGGGGGTTGGATCAAAGAACAACTTATATCACTGGTTTCCTGTCACCGACCACAAGGATCCACTGCCTTCTGAAACAGTCACTGCTGTCTTCCCCACAATGAGCCCTCAGTCACCTTTTATACCTGGACTCCTGCCAAGCCAACAATCCCCTGGCTGCCCTCCCCACGTCCCCACCTTGCCCAAACCATTCCCTCAATCTGGAAAACCCACCTTTAACTTTACCCTCCTACATCCTTCTGAATTCCAAACCAATATCCACAACTTCCAGGAAACCCCTAGGATTAGGTCACATCTGTTACTCTACATACCAGGAATTTAGGAATACATATGAATGTCCAATTACCATCTTCTATTCAGCCTCGATGTTCCTACCTTTAACAACTAGTTTTGATGAGTCCTAATGGTCCAGAGCATGTGACAGTTTAAAATACAGAAGCATGACCTAAATCAATGACCCTGAATGACCACGTAGACAGTGCTTCACCTAAGCTAGTGAGTGAACCCAGCCAACCACCCAGCATCCACATTAAGGAGATTACGGTCTGCTTAGCATCCAGAAACACATTTTAGGACAGGTTGTGTTACCATAATATTCACACATTTGGGGAACTTGGGACCATAGCACTTCCAAGCTCCAAGGGTCTAAAATCACTTTCCTTAAATATATACAAGCAGGACTAATCTGGAAGAAAGGACTGCCACCTGAGGCTATATATACTCAAGATGGCAGGTGACAGAACAGGCAATTTTATGGTTCCTATGCCTCATGTTCTCTTAGGATTATCCTGATCATGTTTCTCCGTCCTAAAGCAAGGTTCCTGTTAAAATTCCTATGAACTAATATGTGACCATCCAGTAATAATTCCAGGGCAAATAATGTAATAGTCCACTGGCTATGCCATTTATGCCAATCAAAATACCAACTGTATTGTGAATGCCTTTTATAATGCAGATACTCCCCAAATAAAAGCCACATGCAATCTCCACATATTAAGCTAGGGCTTAATTTTAAAAGACTTATTTCTCCTATACCTCCTCCCAGGATTCTTTGTTCTGTCCGATAAGATCATCTTACCTCAAAGTACATCCCAGGACTAAATGGGAAACAGGTAATATTTCTCTCCTCTTCTCCCCAGGACTCGTGAAGAAAAGAGTTTCTTACAAATGCTTTAATATTCAGGCGTGGGTTCAAGTGAAGAGCAATATCCTTTGATTTTCCTGATACTAGGTCAACATTAAAGCTTTTGAGAGAATTAAAAAAAAATTAACCAAGTAGAAGACAGCAGTACAGTTTTTGCAATTTTAACAGTCAGAACTGAGCTCTGATCATAATTGCACAAAACACATGTGTGCACACAGACACACCAATGCAGATGGGAAGGTAAAATTTAAAATTTTGCGGGACACCTGGGTGGCTCAGCAGTTGAGCATCTGCCTTCGGCTCAGGTTGTGATCCCATGGTCCTGGGATCAAGTCTCACATCAGGCTCTCCACAGGGAGCCTGCCTCTCCCTCTGCCTGTGTCTCTGTCTCTCTCCCTCTGTCTCTCATGAATAAACAAATAAATCTTTAAAAAAAATTTTAATTTTGAGTTAGCATGCCACTGATGTAAATGTGCTCTCTGCAAAAATAAAAATATAAAAAACTTTAACATCAGTGTTAAACACTTCAACACTGAAGCTACAGATCTGGATGGGAAGCAATTGAAGGATTAGAGCAAGTAACCGAAATGCTTGCTTTGGGCTACAGGAGGATGGGGTCCTTTCAAGTACATATTCTCTTTTAACACTGACAAGTGTTCTGTTCTTCTTGAAAGTGTACTACTTTCTAGGAAATAGGTAATTTCAAGCTTCCAGAAGTCTCAACGTCTCTAGAAAAGGTTCCTAAGGCAGAAATCTATAAGTCGCATGACGTGAGGGGCCCTAACAAAAGTCACCTGACCACAGACTGACCTGAACCTTCTACAAGGCATGGATAGCTTCCCGGACAAAAACACCACCCTCTTATCTGGCCACAAAAACCCTAGCTCAAAAGAGAGGCCTTTACTCCTAATTCTGCCACCAGCTAGTTGTCAGCAGTCCTGTTAGCAGCCTGACTTCCTGTTGTTTTGAAAGTCTCTTTCAGGTGAGGATTAGGACACTACTCCTGCTTCCATCTCACAAGACAGGTAGAGCATAAGAGGCCATTAAGAGACACACATGGAGGGCAGCCCCGGTGGCTCAGCAGTTTAGCGCCGCCTTCAGCCCAGGGCCTGATCCTGGGGACCCGGGACTGAGTCCCACGTCAGGCTCCCTCCATGGAGCCTGCTTCTCCTTCTGCCTGTGTCTCTGCCTCTCTCTCTCTCTCTCTCTCTCTCTCTCTCTCTCTCTCTCTCTCGCTCTCTGTCTCATGAATAAATACAATCTTTAAAAAAAAAAAAAAGACACATGGAAAGCAGTCACACTCTTCCTGGTAACAGCGGTACTGACCCTCTGGCAGTTTTATTCACTTCTCCTTTAATGACAACAGTTCGTCCAGGGCCCATTGAGGAGTTCAACCTTGCAGTGAATGGCAGAGTCTGAAGAGAAACCACAGTCAGCGCTAGGAAGCCTGCAGAAAGTGACCTCATGGGAAAACTGTCCGAAGACACTGGGCAATGGTCAAAAGTCATAATCCTGTAAAACCCAGCAGTCAGCACTGCCCAGCTCACAGTGGAAACTCAATGAAAGCATTTCAGACAAGGAAATGAATACATGTGAGGTGGGGCCTGAAATCCCTTGTATGAGTGAGATCCACTCTGAGAAAGATGCTATGCATGGGGTCCTGATGCCATGCTCCACCTTTCTGCCTGAGGGGAGGAAGCCCAGATGGGAGGCATTACGGAAATACTTGCTCGGGTGGGGGGGGGGGGCGGGGGGGCAGAGAGTCAAAGCCCAGCTGACTCTTCTCTCCAGGGTCAGCACAGAAACGCAGAGTTGGCTGCTTTGGGCTTCTACTGAGGGTAAGAATTCTACATTACCAGCTAATTAAAATTTGTTATACAGAATTAAGAAAACTTTTGGCTCTTCAAACCTTTGACAAACAGCTGGTAGGTAGTATTTTGGCGCAAGTCAAAGTGTGATTGGCAGTCGAATCTTTGCTCTTGGTGTAGACAGTTCTGGGTACGATTTTAGAAATGTCTCCTCTATTACTAGGCTGTTGGGGAAAGAGTTCTGCAGTAAGGTATGGAAGGAGTGAGGCTGTCTTCTAAGGTTTAAATATTCATGTCCTGGGTGATTTTATAAAACATTCCACGCTATAACTGAGGCAAAAATACTTACAAAATGTGGTGTGTCGGGCTTTAGTACCTATTGGAGGAGAAAGTCAAGATGAAGACGTTTGAAAGGGAAAAACTACATTTTATAACATGAACAGTCAGATCTTAATGGTTACAACAGCCAGAGCCAGGATGGTAGTGCCTGCTCAGCCCTGGGAGTGACAGACAAACGGCCTGCACTTCCTGACCGTGCAGAGCTGTGAAGGGCTCCTTAGGCTGGGGATACAGTCCTGGGGTCCTGGTCATCTTAAGCCTGTATCCTCCGCCATAAATTAATTATTCACAGGACTATATGTGAACTTCAGACATGTTTTACTTATTCTTTCCAAGGTGCTCCCAAAATGCTGAAATACTACATTCTATCTATGAGGTCACATGTTCTGAGATCATTAAGACATCACTTTCTCCCCTGATACCAAAGACTCGGTGTTTAAACTATACTTGTTCCTACAGGGGGGAAGATATGTGTGGAAGTTCACCTGCCAAAGCACTGTGCCCAGTATTTATAAGTACCATGTGACAGTTCTCTTCAGCAGTTGAGAGGGGTTTTTTACACAAGAATCACAGGAGGGGGCAGATACACTGCAAACTCAAGTGTCTGCAAAACTCAAAACTCAAGAGTCTGCAAAACTCACAGAGCCTGGTACAAAAATATATGCCTTAATTTTCAAATGCTTACTTCTAGCATATTATTATTAAAAATAACCTTTTGCATTAAAAACATAATTTTAAAAACTTAAGCCTGCTTGCCACCTGATTTACATGACAACTAAGAGAGCATTTTTAAACTGTTAGTTCATTCTTAGATTTAATATTTACATTTTCTTTACTTATCTCTGTCAGTTCCAGAGTAGATGCTTGGGTACTTCTGAAATCCTGAAGATAAGATTAATTTTTAACAGCCATCAGAACTTTAAATACAACCTCCTTGACATATCAAAAAAGAATTATAAATAGTATTAAACATGAAAATATGCTTGAAGATCATGATCCAGAAATGTACTTAACATTAGGGTCCTTCCCCCACCCACCCCCCCATCAGATTGGCAAGCGAGAAAGAAGACTAAGAACGAGCATCAAGAAAAGTGGGAGTAGTCCGGGACACTGCTGAGACTACATTGTTGGTAATCTTTCTGGAGGACGAGCCACTAGCCCTCCAACTAGGATCACTTATAACTTAAAATGCAAATGTCCTTTAACTCAGACTTTCTACTTCCAGGAATCTCTCTAGAAGCCCTCCACTGTACTTCCTATGTCAAGGAATTAGCTCCTGTTATAAGGGGTTTTTTTTTTAATTGTTGTTAGAACCATACTAGATTTGAGATCCTATAGACATTAAAACCTAGCCAACAGATAACACACCACCAGCCTGAAAGATTTACCTTCAAGAAACTAATATACTAAGGACAGAGACATTGACAATATTTGTATCTTAAGATGTTAAAGATATTTCCTACCATTTCATCGGAAGACATCATCAAAGACCCCAGGCTATGGAAGGATACTCACCGAGCTGAAGTTATAACCAATTGAGTGGACATTCACTTTGCCATAAATGCCCAGAGTGTCTATTTTCCCTGGGGTAATCCTGTGGGCATAGAGCAGTATGTGTTTCCCATTTACAGCCACCTATGTGGACACAGAAGACAGCCCAGCACCCCAGGGGAAAAAAAAAACAGTTAATACATGTTTTAATGTATCCAAATTTAAATCATGTTTACTTGGGCTTAATTTTATACCTTTTCCCACAGGTCTGTACATTGTATGTCTGACCTGAAAGCATCCATAACTCTAGTGGTGTTTCTTGACTTCCTCTGAGTCCCTGGTCTGATTCATTAGTATGGATCCTCCCCCCGGACAAATGATGCATTCATGAATGTATGTGCATGTGTATACACGGATGGTCGAGGCCTGTGAACACCCTGGTTCGCGATCTGCCCTGCAAGCTTGCCACTCCACCTGCTGTCCTTGAGGACCACATTCTAAGGAAGACCATCTTGCACATGGCAGGCGTTCAATAAATATTTGTTGAATCTGCTCAATGAACGGACGTGGGCAAGCTACTCAGTTTATCTGAGATTCCTATTGTAAGCCAGGGAAGGGAGGGATGAATAGAGTTTGGGAGATTCAGGGGAAGTGTTTTGGTGGGAGCGTATCCCAAATGCCAGAAAGGACCCACACGAGAGAGGGGAAATTCTCACTCTAAGCAGAGCAACTCTAGTCTGGGAGGCTCAAGGTTCTACAAGGCCTGTGGGCCAGAGCCTCTCCAGGCCACCTTCTACCTCACACTTAACACTGGCTAGGTATTTACCGCTTGGAGCCACTGGTGTTTACTACACATCGGACTTCTAAGAACTCCTCTGCATCTAAATCTCTCACCTTAAATCCTAAAGAGGGTGCCTGGGTGGCTCAATGGTTGAGCAGATGTCTGCCTTTGGCTCAGGTAGTGATCCTGGGCTCCTGAGATCTAGTCCTACATTGGGGCCCCTGCAGAAAGCCTGCTTCTCTGCCTATGTCTCTGCCTCTCTCTGTGTGTCTCTCATGAATGAATAAATAAAATCTTTTTTAAAAATAAAATCCTAAAGAACTTGTGGCAGGGGGCAGCCCCGGTGGCACAGCAGTTTAGCGCCGCCTGCAGCCCAGGGCGTGATCCTGGAGACCCGGGATCGAGTCCCACTGCATGGAGCCTGCTTCTCCCTCTGTCTGTGTCTCTCATGAATAAATAAATAAAATCTAAAAAAAAAAAAAAAAAAAGAACTTGTGGCAGGATTTAACTTTGACTTCCTATCCATCTACTAGTACAAATGCCCTGACACTTTGGGTCATGGTGACCAGTTTTACTATCCCACTTTTTTTTTCTTTTTTTTACTATCCCATATTTATTCCTGTGCCAGTTCAGACCTAAGCTGAGCTGAGCTAGCAGAAATGGGATCCAATAAAAAAAGTTTCTCTGCCGTGCATCCATATTCTAGATGAAACACCAGGGACAGATGGAGGTGTGCCCCATCTCACAATTAGGTACCAGGTTGGGCCCTCCCTACTTTAGAGCAAAATGATAAAGCCACTCTTTTCCTCTGGACTGAAGTAACAGGAGGGTGAGTTCACTGATGTGCTGACCCACCCTGGGCGCTTATGTCATTAATGAGGATTTCATCTTCATTCTCCAAAACCTACCTGGAATTTGTCTTTCAATACCATAATGACAATTTCAAAAGACTTTTCTTTTTTGAAAGGTGTGTCGTAGGTGATCTCTTCCCATCCCCATTTTTCATTTTTCAGAGTATTGCACACAATGCAGTCAGACCACTTGAAGCGTGGATTGAAGTGGAAGGCCACGTCGGCACGCGGCTTCACACTGCTGCCGCACTGCAGGTCCACCTGGAACCTGAGAAAGCATGGAACGAGAGGTGGCAGGGGCATGCAGGAGGCAGGCTGCAGGGGAAGGTCTGGCAAGTACAGCCAGCTGGCCTTGGGGACCCGGGACTGATCCTCTGTCCATTCACCCACGTGGCCTAAATACTGTCTTCCATAACTTTCATGTCCTTCCTCAGGGCAGAATCCTAAACTGGGGCCAAGGCCCTGTGTATGCAGAGTAAGAGCCCACCTCTTCTGCTTCCCGGGCAGGCAGGTGTGCTCAGGTGTTGGAGACTCTGCTGAGGTGGAAATGTTCAGGGAAGACCCCTGGGATGGCTCAAGGTCAGCTAGCATTTGCCTTTGTCCACCCACAGCCCACTCCCCGCAAACATCACAGGCACCTGCCCAGCTCCCCAAAACATGGTGTGAGGCCTGGATTTCTGGTTGCCATGAAAGAGGACCTCGCCCTCAGAACAGCAGAACTGTGAGCTGGGAGAGGCCTGCTTCTCTAGATTCTACGGAGTTGCCTGGAAACATCTGGGCTGTCTTCTTCAGACATCACTTTCACTTTTTATAGAAACTGCTGTTACCTGGGCATCAGCTGCACAGAGCTGGCCCAGTAGAACCCATACAGCATCGCCCACAGTTTGTACAGAAAGCAAGCATTGGACAAAACTGCCCAGAGCGAATCTTAAGTGACGCTGTGGGAACGTTAAACTCTAACTAGACCTTGTCCCTGGGGTCTGACCACAGTTTCCCTCATTAACTAGACAGCTAATCGTCTATATTCAAATGAGACTTACTACAGTAAAATAAAACACCCAGGTGACTTTCGGTTATTCACTCCCATCTTCTCAGCACCTGGGCCAGGGCTGCTGATGAAAGCAAAACCAGGCCTCAAAGTATCCAAACAGTCTCCCCACTAAAAGACCGTTCAGTCATGTGGTTTTTCCATTTCACAGGATGGTTTTACCTGTCCGAATCACAAGGAACATGCCCACGTATTACAATCAAGGTTCCAGGCTCCAACTGCCCAGGAATGGTCCCAACATAGGGGATTACCTAGGAAGAAAAAATGTTTAACAAGTGGATGTTTACATAAACAAAACAGAAAGGCTACATTATGAAAGGCTGCATGTAAATCTGCTCAGAATCTAGCATTTTCCAAGTCACTACTGTGACAGTATCTGCAAACCTGAGTTCTTTGAAAAAAGACACAGCTGAAAGTTCACAGACCTTTTTATTTAGCGTGGGTTTTGTGAAATAAGATGTCTACTTAATAGGATAATTCTGCAAACAAAAACAACTTGCTGGGACCTGTTCCCCCTTCCCCTCCCTTTTCCCTAAAGTTCCGCTGATGATCCTAGCATGGGACCGGGACCACTTGAGGCCCCAAGGCCATGCTGATGGAGACAATGACACTCCCTGTGAACTTAGCCCCTCCTCCATACCTGGGATCAGTGTCTATCTTCCCTGCCAGGCTTCCAGACCTCAGCCCACTGCACTGCTAAGAATCAGAACCATGTGATCTTAAGGATGATGACACCAGGTGCTTGTGGTCTCTCAAGACACGGCATCCACCTCGCCTGGTTCAGTCTCAGGCTTGGCTTCCAACATAGTATCCAGGTCCCAGCCTGCCCCCTCATCACCTGGAACCCAGCCTTTCTGCCTGGGGCCGGACACACTATCAGATCTTGTCACTCCCCTTTCCCAGAGGTGACTCTAGTGTCCTCCCCACCCACTGGTTGCATCTCCTGCATCACAACCACCACCCCTTCCACTTGGGAGCATCTAAGCAAACCAAGCAGGCCATACGCCATCATGCCTTATGCTGAGCCGACCCGAGTTATGACATAAATGCTAAAATCTATCCAAGGTGGCTCTGATTGTCAAGAAATAAGACCTAGAACAAGAGAGCACGTATAAAAGTAGTTGTAGATAGGTTGCTACCAAGCTGAAAAATCTCAGTGAAAGCGCCATCTTCTTCATGGAGCCTTTTCTGGACTCCATGGGCCAGCAGACCTCACTCCTCTCTGAAGGGCTGCATAGCACATTAGACTCTGCCTAGATTGTAAACTGCCTGGGGCCAGCCAGCCAAGCGATCACTGAGAACGGCAGGAAATGATGAAAGCCAGCTGTCACCTGGTGTCATGACAGCTGCTGAGAGCTGAGTGGGTAGGATGAGCAGAGCCCATCACACTAGAAAATACCACAACACACATCAGAGTAGCTGGGTTTTGTGAGTAGAGAATGTAGAGGAATTAGACTTCTACACTGATCTTTGGGCCACAGCTGATTCCAGGAATAGCTGGCAGCACACTCCACAGTGGAAATCTCTTAATAAACTGAAGTTTTCGTAACTTCAAATATGTTCAAACTATTTAGGGATATAAATATTAGTGAGAAAACAGCCTACAGGACTATACATAGTATGACTGTAACTAAGTACTAAGTTCATGGTAAACATTAAAGAAGGAAAACGCCGTAATGAAATAAGCCAAAAAAATTAACAGCAGTTTTCTCAAGGGATGGGATTTTTGTTTTCCAGATCTCTGTGTTTATCTTTTTATAACCACAAGTTTTCAGTATATATTTAACTTGAGGGATGGGATGAAGAGAGCTTTCTCAGACCAATAATCTGTCCCCATCACTGTAAATTCTTCACCATCATTCATAAGTTGTTCCAATCTGAGAAACGACATTTTCACCATTTGCTGTTTCAGTTGTCTGGATTAATGCTTCCTACTGAGGGAAGTACCCTCCACGATGTCAGTCATACTCAAGTGATTTGGATCACATGAGCAACACGAACTGCCCTGCAGCCCACTCACTGAACTCATGACTATTTGCTCCTGTGAAAAGGGAGAAGAGTACTGTTTTATAGGGAAACATCAAGCTTTGATGTTTCACAAATAACTTATGTCAAAAAAAAAAATTAAAATACAGCCCTAATCACATTGGAGACAGTACTGTAAGCATAAGCCATACTTAGGTTCAGTATTACCTGCCAGAACATGCTAGCTGGCTCATAACTGCTTTGCCTGTTCAAGATTACTTCTGTGTCTGCTACACACAAAGGTCTCACTGAAGTGGAACGCAGATAAAAGCAAGTGTAAGAGTCTTCTTGTAAGAGGAGCTTATAATACAGCTGGGAAGAAGACAGATACCCGTGGGAAGATAATCAGAGTAGAGATGGGGTACTCGGGCTGTCTCTCCCATACCTGGACAATTCCTCTCCACCACAGAAACGTTCGACCTCATCTAGAGTGCAGGGAAAGGCCAGGACATATGACGGAATTCTGTCACTCAGGACCCCCAGCTCAGATGTGATGTTAGAGCCAGGACAAGAAGCCAGAATCATCCAGTATTCACTCTGCCGGGGGGCAGCGGCCCTACCCAGGCTCAGAGGCAGAGGTGGCAGTGACGGTGCTGCCAGGGCAGAAGTACCCTCTTGGTGGGAAGAGTCTTACAGCCTGACTTTGGATGCTGTCTGTGATTATGTAGTTGCCAAGTGTGGTTCTTCAGTCCTGCTAAAGATTCTGAGGACTACTCAGTATCATTTAATAAATTCCTTCTCTGCTTAAAGACTAGCTTCTGTGCTTGCAACTGCCAACTGTGACTAGTTCAGCCTCTTAAAACGCAGGGCAGTAAGCGCCAAATTGGTGCTTCAGAAAAATGTGTAATGAATTCCAGGTTGCCCAAAGGTTTATAAGGCGGTGTGGTTTGAGCCAGGCAATCAAGAGGGGAAAGCCAGTTCAGGTAGAAAGGTCCGTTTACAAAAGCAGAGGTGGGAAAAGAAAAAACATATCTGGAACCATAAGCAATAAGGGAGAATTCAAGACAGAGTCAGGGTCAGACTTTAGAATGAGATCATGAAAGTGGGATCTAGGGAAACAGTCCAGTGGAATAAAATACACTGGAGCACAGGGGATTCTCGGGGTACAGTGGTTACTTGCAGTGAGCCTGAGATAAGGCTACAATCCAGGCGATAGCAGTAGACATAGGAGTGGGGGGAGGAAGAGACAGACACAAGAAATATTTCAAAGGAAACGATCTGTATAGGGCCACCATCTAAAATGGTAAAACTGGGGAGGAAACAGAATTTCAGAAGGAAGATATGTTTACTTTTGGACACTTCTTGAGTGATGGGCTAGGAGAACATCTAAGAGGGGATCCAGGGCCACACATTAAGTGAATGGCCGGAACTCATGCTCAGAGTCAGAGCAGGGATGATCATTAAAGGTATTGAGGTTGATAAGCTGAGAGAAAGGGAAAGGCAGGGGCAAAGGTTTGTAAAATGTCTTGTAATACGAGGGAATATGCAGAAGAGAGTTAACAAAGCAGAAATGGGATGTCTGGGTGGCTCGGTGGTTGGGCGTCTGCCTTTGGCTCGGTCCCGAGATCGAGTCCCACATTGGGCTCCCTGCAGGAAGTCTGCTTCTCTCTCTGCCTATGTCTCTGCCTCTCTCTCTGTTTCTCATGAATAAATAAATAAAATCTTTAAAAAAAAACAAACACATGCACACACAAAACAGACCTGACTGCAAGCCCTGAAAGGCTCCCTTGTACAAGGCTGGCTTGTGGCCAGGATCCAGGAACTTGGATTTGGGGGGACCATCCACCACCCAAATGGATGAAGGTGGTCTCCTATACCTAAACTGCTTGTGCAAATGATATGGTTCATACTAAAAACCTGCTTTCCTTACAGAAGTCTGGAATTTCAGTTTGTGCTAGGCAGAAGTGGTCTACATAACCAGTCCCCAATAAAATCCCTGGGCAGTGAGTCTCTGATGAGCTTACTTGGTAGGCAGCATTTCACCTGCATTGTCACAGCCTTCTGCTGCGGGATTTCAGTTCATCTGGGGTGAGTCCACCGGGAGAGCACCTGTGGGACCTTGCACCTGATTTCCCCTGGACTTCGCCCCAGGTACCCTCTCCCTTTGATATTGCTCTGTCATTTCACTGTAATAAATCACAGACATCACTATGACTCTGTGCTGGTGACTCATCACACCTGGGTGTGTAATTGGGGACCTCGATGCAGGAGATGGGAAGAGAAAGGTGAAAAGGATCAGTCAGAGCTGGACATATCGAGGTCAATTTCAATATGGGAAGACTGTCAAAATCCTTAATATGAAAATATAAGGAAGATTTTTTAAAAAGATAATGAAGTCAGTATCAAGCCATTTGATCCGCTGATTCCCCTTTTACAGATTTACCCTATAAAATACTGGCACACATACATAAAGATGCACATACCTGGCTGTACACTACAGCGCTGGATCAGGTCACAAAAGAGAACAGTCCTTTAATAGGAACTGGCTAAATAAGTGACAGTATATCCACAAAATGGACCATCATGCAGCCATGAAACTATGTGAGCAAGTCCCAGTGTGCCGGTATCTTCAAAATGTGGTGAACAGGAAAAGTGGCACACGGGGCAGTATATATGCAGGTACACCTCGGAGATACTGCAGGGTCAGTTTCCAAGGCACTTTCACAAAGTGGAGACTGCAGTAAAGCCATTCAGATAAATGTTTTGGTTTTCCAGTACATAATAAAGTTATGTTTACATTATACTGCAGTCTATTAAGTGTGCAATGGCATTATAGCTATAAAAAAGTATGTTCCTTAATTTAAAAATATGGCTATAAAATGCAAACCATCATCTAAGCTTTCAGCAGGTTGTAATCACTGATCACCGTAAAAGATTTGCACATAAAATCTTTAGATTTTAAAAATAATAATAAAAAAGGAAAACCTATAACCTAAATGAAATGAAATTGAACACAGATTATCTCCAAAGTATTTAGGGCATGGCAGCATGGAAGGAGGCAAAATTTAAACAGCAGAAAGACACAGACAGAAATGGAAACCTTCTAGAGGGAAGCTGGTTCGGGGAGGAAGATGTGACTTTAGTTTAGAACTCCTAAGTCTGGAAGGGTTGGCAGGGCATCTGACAGCAGAGCCTTTTTTTTTTTTTAAAGATTTTTATTTATTTATTCATAGAGACACAGAGAGAGAGAGAGAGGCAGACACAGGAAGAGGGAGAAGCAGGCTCCATGCAGAGAGCCTGACACGGGACTGGATCCAGGGTCTCCAGGATTACGCCCTGGGCTGCAGGCGGCGCTAAACCGCTGCACCACGGGGGCTGCCCTGATAGCAGAGCCTTAGGTAAAAGCCAGAAGTGTTCCCACATTGTGTACATACTCAAAAGGTCTAACGGTGATCAGTAAATGAAGACACAAAATAAAGAGAAAGTCAAAGACACAACTAGTAAAGACAAAAAGGAAATTAAGAAAGAGTAAAAAAAAAAAAATCAGAGGGCAGAGCTGTGGTGAGGGAATCAAGATGGCAGAACAGATGCGCCCCAGGGACAGTGGTCAGCCAAGGAGGAACAACGATGTCACAAGGTTGGACAGGACCTCAGAGGTTAAAAAAGGTTTTACTCTCTTGTGTTTTAAGATTAAGTGGTAAGGCAGAAAGGAGGGTACTCAGAATACTACAGAGCAAAGGATAAATGTGGAAGCAAAGTTCCCACAGACCGGAAGGATGAGCTTTTTGGCACCAGTGGAATGAATGTTGACAAGCGGTTTATTCACTTGTAAGAACCAATGTGATTTGCTGCTAAGTAACTTCTTAACCAGCTAACTCAGTCACATGTTGAGAACTTTGGAAACCGCCAACAGTCAGTGAAATAAATTAGGTATGAAAAAGCACATAGGACAGCTATATAGTGTACTTTGTTTTCCAAGAAGACTTCATATGGATAGAATTTGCCACCATTGTGGATGAAAACTTTAGAAATGTTAAGGGAAAAAAAAAGGTGGTAGTTCTGTATATTCATGATGCTTAATAAATCATGCAATAGAAAGTCAATAAACATAAGAGTGTCCACACTACTTAAGCTTTTCTCCCATTTGCAGCTAGCTGCCCTTCCAGTGTTCAAAAGACCATGGTCTGGGGGAGGAAGAGGTTGCAAATAACTTAGATCTTTTAAGTCAATTAGGATATTGTACAAGCTAGTCTTAAAAAGCACTATTTTCATGCATTACGGTTATTTTGTTAGTGATCAGTTCAAAAAACTGAAGAAAAGCTTAGCAGGATGGGTACTTCCTGCCGTGAATACTTATTTAATAAGTGAAATTTAAAGATGAAGCACAATGTCATTTTTTAAAAAACACTTACTTATTCATTTTAGAGAGAGACAGAGATGGAGACAGAGTCAGTGATTCGGGGGCAGGGAGCAGAGCACAAGGGGAGAGAGGGAGGGGGAGGGGGCGAAGGGAGGAAGGAAATAAAACATTTTTTATAGCAATGAATCCATTTTCCTTTGAAAATGTCTTATTATCTTCTCAGAACCACCAAAGTTGGCTTCCCTCCACCATACCCCATGCTTTCCATTCAGAACACATTCTCACCACTTTGAATTGTCACTATGATCTTGTCCTCCACTAGAATGAGTTCCAAGGTCTTTGTTTTTCTGTCAGCGACCACCATAGTGCTTATCACACAGTGCGTACTTTCCATATATTTACTGAATTTGATCATCAACCCTCCCCAACAATGGATAATTACTATCCAATTGGATTTGCTCTAAATCCTGCCACAGATAAAAAGTGATTTTATAAAAATCAGTTACCGGGTTATAGATGATATTCTGCAGGTTTTTTAAGGACAACATCACTCTTTTTCACCTTATTGTTGATTGAGGTCTCTCTTTTATGTATGATCTAATAAGATTTTAAGCAAGTTTCATTTAAAGACTTCCCAGATTGAAGCTGAGGCTCCTGCCCTGTGTAAAAGAAAGAAAGAAAAATTAGTATGCATTTTTCTTCATCATAATTGTTTTTAATTTAAATTACAAATTATTTGATATTTACCAAATAACAGGATGCTATGACAATCAAAGATCTGACCCCAATTCTTACCTTGCATATTTGTCCACTAAATAATTTTGGACTATCAGTCCAGACTTAAAATATACATGAGAAGGAAGAGGGTTCAAATAGGCTGCACAGAAAGATCCAGAGCTAAAAAAAAAAAAAAAGAAAGAAAGATCCAGAGCTCACCTCCTCCCATGGATACAGCAAATCTACAACTACATATAAAATAACTTCTTTGAAAGGGGTACCTAGAAACTGGATGAACAGAAACAGAACGTCCACAAGAAGGCACAGCACTGAGAAAGAAGGGGCAGAAATACAGTCTCACACCCAGACATAGGATTCCACAGTCCAGGCAGAGCTCAAAGGTATGGAAGTTTTCCCAGAGGAGTGAGAGATTCAAGCTCACATCAGGCCTTATATTCTGCACAGATGAGACAGCCCCCAAAACAAATGGCTTTCAAAACCAACAGGGAATCAATCACCCGCAAAAACGACAGAACTGTGGGGAAGGGAAAACCCATTCTTAAAGGTAGCCCGTGTGCAGACTTGCTCAACCCTGAAACCAGCACAAAAATACCATACAAAAAGCAGAGACCAGAGGTGAAGGAGACCCCTTATAACCCTGGAGCATCTGCTGGAGAGGCAGGGGACAGCTGGGTTTCTGCCTTGGGACAAAGACACTGGTGGCAGCCATTTTTGCCATCTCATTCTGCCATACTGATTGCCCTCTAGACTTCTAATGTCAGGGGGTGCACAATGCTGAGAGCCCCACACAACCTTGTGCCTTTTCATGGCCTTGCAGCCAATAGGGCGATAACCCTGCCCACCAGAGCAGCCTGAAACACATGCAGCCAGGCCTAACAGCCAGCCTAACAGCAGGAGGAGGTCAGTCCTTCCCACCAGCATACCTACAGCCACAACCCTGCCACAACAGGATGGTGCATGCAGCCCACACCAGGGAGAACCCTGGAGCAACTGGCTCTGGTGGCCATGGGGGACTGTATTTCTGTGCCCCTCAGGACATCTACATAAAGCCACTCCTTCAAGACCAGGAGACATAGATGAACTACTTAATATATAGAAACAAACAGAGAGTCAAGCAAAATAAGGAGAGAGAAAAGTATGTTCCAAAAGAGAATTAAAAAAAAAAAAAGAAAAAAGAAAAAAACAAAATAAAAAAAGGGAGAAAAAAAAAAAACAAGACAAAACTTCAGAAAAATAACTTAAGAAAACACAGATAAGAAAACTATGCAATAAAGAGTTCAAAGTAAAGGGGAACCCTCTTGCACTGTTGGTGAGAATGTGAATTGGTATAGCCACTCTGGAAAACTGTGTGGAGGTTCCTCAAAGAGTTAAAAATACAGGGGATCCCTGGTGGCTTAGCGGTTTGGCGCCTGCCTTTGGCCCAGGGTGCAATCCTGCAGTCCCGGGATCGAGTCCCACGTCGGGTTCCCGGCATGGAGCCTGCCTCTCCCTCTGCCTGTATCTCTGCCTCTCTCTCTATGCCTATCATGAATAAATAAATCTTAAAAAAAAAAAATAGAGCTACCCTAGGACCCAGCAATTGCACTACTGGGGATTTACCCCAAGATACAGATGTAGTGGAAAACCAAGACACCTGCACCCCAATGTTTATAGCAGCAATGTCCACAATAGCCGAACTGTGGAAGGAGCCTCGGTGTCCACGGAAAGATGAATGGATAAAGAAGATGTGGTCTATATATACAATGGAATATTACTCAGCCATTAGAAACGACAAATACCCACCATTTGCTTCAACATGGATGGAACTGGAGGGTATTATGCTGAGTGAAGTCAGTCAATCGGAGAAGGACAAACATTATATGGTCTCATTCATTTGGGGAATATAAAGAATAGTGAAAAGGATTAATGGGGGAAAGGAGAGAAAATGAGTGGGAAATATCAGAGAGGGTGACAGAACATGAGGACTCCTAACTCTGGGAAATGAACAAGGAGTAGTGGAAGAGGAGGTGGGCGGGGGGATGGGGTGACTGGGTGACGGGTACTGAGGGGGGCACTTGACAGGATGAGCACTGGGTGTTATACTCTATGTTGGCAAATCGAACTCCAAAAAAAAAAAAAATACAAAAAAAAAAAGTTCAAAGTAATAGTCAAAAAGACACTTACCAAACTAGAAAGAAGAAAGGAATGAACACATTGAGAACTTCGTCACTCCATTGCTCTCTGGTCCCTGGGCCTCAGGAATCTCCCCTTCTAGTCAGGCCTGCCTCAGTTCACTTCAGGACCTCTCCTGCAGAAAACTGGCAGTGTGCAAACCTTGCTAACACCATTGCCCCACCACACCCCCAGAACCCCCATGTTGCAGATCCACACCCTCCAATGGGCTCCTGGATGGAGACCATTCAAATCTGCGCCACAAACCTGGCAGTGTGCAAGCAGCTCTAACAGGCCAGCATGACTCCAAATGATTACTGCCCCAAGAAGAAAGGAATATAGCTACCACACCAGTCCTTTTTTTTTTTTTAAGATTTTATTAATTTACTCATGAGAGACACAGAGAGAGAAATAGGCAGAGGGAGAAGTCCTCCTGCAGGGAGCTTGGTTTAGGGACTCAATCTCAGGACCCCAGGATCATGCCCTGAGCCAAAGGCAGATGCTCAACCACTGAGCCACCCAGGTGCCCCACCACACACCAGTCTGACTGCTGACCCAGCGGAGGGTTGGAGGCAGATCTGCTCTGCCTCTGCAGGTCCCACCTACCAACTAATACTTCTCAGGAGATAACACAGAGTATTCTGAAGTTTGGAGCTACTACATCCCTGAGAAATGCCTGCTCTGACTCAACTCAAGCCCACAGCAGCCCAAGACTGGTCTGCTAACACCACAAGGACCAAACATTGCACACAACAAGCAAAGAGAGCCCCTGCAGACAAATGGACTAAAGTCAAAAGTGGTTCATCCACAACAACAGGATGTATGCAACACATTAAGATACACCCCTGAAGAACCAGGTTCCAGTGAACAGGGAACACTGCATTGCAGGTCACTATAGGAACTCCTCTTCATAAAGCCAGGACTTTCAAGAAGAGACATAGGTGACTTTCCTAACAGACAGACACAGAGAGTTAGACAAAATGAGGAGACAAAGGAATATGTCTTAAATGAAATAGGACAAAACCACAGCAAGAGACCTAAGCAAAATGGAGATAAGTAATATGCCTGATAGATAATTTAAAATAATGATAATAAAGTACTCAAAGTGGAGATTATCAGTGAGACCTTGAACAAAGATGAAAAAAAAATCAAAGATAAAGAACACAATAAATGAAATTAAAAATACACTAATGGGAAAAATAGCAGGATACCAAAGCAGAAGAATGAATCAATGACCTGGAGGACAGAGTAATAGAAAGTAATCAAGCTGAGCAGCTAAGAGAAAAATATTATGTAAAATGAGAAGAGACTTAGGGAATTCATTGATGCTATCAAGTGCAACATTCACATTATAGAAACCCCAGAAGGAGGAGAAAAAAAATAGGGAGCAGAAAATTTATTTGAAGAAATAACAGCTGAAATCTTCCTAAATCTGAGCAAGGAAACAGACATCCAGATCCAGGAAACACAGAGATCCCTCAACAAAATCAACCCAAAGTGCTCCACACTGAGACACATAGTAATGAAAATGGCACAAAAGTAGTGATATTGAGAATGAGAACATTTTTTTTAATTTATTTATTTGACAGAAAGAGAGCAAGCACAAGCAAGGGTGAGCAGCAGAGGGAGAAGCAGGCTCCCTGCTAACCCAGGACCCCAGGATTATGACCCAAGCCAAAGGCAGATACTTAACTGACTGAGCCACCCAGATGCCCCAATGAGAGCATTTTAAAAGCAGCATGAGAAAGGAAACTCCATGAGGCTATCAGTTAATTCTTCAGCAGAAACCATGCAGGCCAGAAAAGAGTAGCATGATATATTTAAAATGCTGAAAGGAAAAAAATCTGTAGCCAATAATACTGTATCAAGTAAGGCTATAATTCAGAATAGAAGGAGAGATAAGGAGTTTCCTAGATAAACAAAAGCTAACCAAAAAAAAAAAAAAAAAAAACAGAGAAGTACAAAATTAGTAAAAGGAAGGAAATAAATATCAAAACAGAAATAAATGGAGACAAAAAATAGTAAAGATCAACGAAACAAGTTCTTTGAAGAAATAAACAAAATACTGTTTATCAATAAACTTTTAACCACACTCAAGAAAAAGGGCCTAATAAATAGAATCAGAAATGAAAGAGGAGAAATTACAACTGATACCAAATATAAAGGCTCCTAAGAGACTACTATGAACAATTATATGCTAACAAATTGGACAACCTACAAGAAACGGATAAATTCTAAGAAACATACAACCTTTCAAAATTGAATTAGGAATAAATTAAAAACCCAGAGAAACCAATTACTAGTAATGAAATTAAATCAGTAATTAAAACAAAAAAAAAACCTCCTAATAAACAAAAGTCCAAGACTAGAAAGCTTTACAGGTAAATTCCACCAAACATTTTAAGAACTATTAATTCTTCTCAAGCTATTCCAAACAAACTGAAGAGGAAGGAACCCTTGTACTCCAAACTTATTCTGCAAGGCCAACATTACCATGATAACAGAACTGTACAAAGACACTACCAAAATATATATATGTATGTATGTATGTATGTATGTGTGTGTGTGTGTGTGTGTATATATATATATATATATATATATATATATATGAAAGGCCAATATCCCTGATGAACACAGATGTAAAAATCCTCAACAAAATATTAACAAACCAAATTCAGCAATACATTAAAAGGATCATACACATGATCAAGTGGGATTTATTCCGGGGATGCAAGGTTGTTTCAATATCTGCAAATTATTTAATGTAAAGCACTATATTAACAAAACAAAGGATGAAAATCATAGGAACATCCTGGTAGATGCAAAAAAAATCATTTGCTTAAATTCAATATCCACTTTTGATAACTAAACTCTCAACAAAAGGAGTACAGAGGGAAATACCTCAACATAATAAGAGGCCACATATATGCCACAACTGACATCATACTCAGTAACGAAAAGCTGAAAGCTTTTCCTCTCAGATCAGGAGCAAGTCTGCACACTTATGCCACTTGTATTCAACACAGTATTGGAAGGCCTGACCAGAGAAATTAGGCAAGAAAAAGAAATAAAAAGCATCCAAATTGGACAAGAAGTAAAACTGTTGCTATTTGCAGAAGACAAAACTATATATAAAAAAAAAATCCCTAAACCCTCCACTATTCTAAACTATTAGAATAAATGAATTCAGTAAAGTTGCATGATACAAAATCAGTATATAGAAATCTGTTGCATTTCTATACACTAATAATGAACTCTCAGAAACAGAAATTAACAATCCCATTTACCATTACATCAAGAAGAGTAAAGTACCTAGGAATAAATTTAATCAATGAGGTAAAAGATCTGTACTCTCAAAACTGTAAGACAAAGACACTGGGGCACCTTGGTGGCTCAGTGGTTGAGCATCTGCCTTTGGCTCAGGGCATGATCCCAGGGTCCTGGGATCCCCACATCAGGCTCCCTACAGGGAGCCTGCTTCTCTCTCTCTGCCTATGTCTCTGCCACTCTCCCTGGGGCTTTGATGAATAAATAAATAAAATCTTAAAAAAAAAACTTTAAGACATTGATCAAAGAAACTGAAGATGACACAAATAAATGAAAAGATCTACCATGTTTAGAGACAGGAAGAATCAGTATTGTCAAAATGTCCATACTACCCGAAGCAATATACAGATTCAATGCAATCCCTATCAAAGTACCGATGGCATTTTCTACATAAGTAGAAAACAAATAACCCTAAAATCTGTATGGAACCACAAACAAAAAAGAACAAAAAACAGCCAAAGTAATTTTGACAAAGAATAATAAAGCTGGAGGTATCATGCTCCCGCATTTCAAAGTACACTACAAGGTACAGTAATAAAAAAGAACAGATAACTAGATCAATAAACACACCAGAGAGCCCAAAAATAAACCCACACTTATGTGGTCAGTTTATGATAAAAGAGGCAAGAATGGGGAAAGCACAGTTTCTTTAATAAGTAATGTTGAAAAAACTGGACAGCTACATGCAGAAGAAAAACTGGGCCATTTTCTTATACCATATACAAAAATAAACTGAAAATGGATTAAAAACTTAAGTAATTTTGATGGAATCTTGTCTCACATTTAGATCTTTCATCCATTTTGAGTTTATCTTTGTGTATGGTGCAAGAGAGTGGTCTAGTTTCATTCTTCTGCATGTGGATGTCCAATTTTCCCGGCACCATTTATTGAAGAGACTGTCTTTCTTCCAATGCATAGTCCTTCCTCCTTTATCGAATATTAGTTGACCATAAAGTTGAGGGTCCACTTCTGGGTTCTCTATTCTGTTCCATTGAGATATGTGTCTGTTTTGATGACCACAGCTTTGTAGTACAACCTGAAATCTGGCATTGTGATGCCCCCAGCTATGGTTTTCTTTTTTAAAATTCCCCTGGCTATTCGGGGTCTTTTCTGATTCCACACAAATCTTAAAATAATTTGTTCTAACTCCCTGAACTAACTCTGGGAAACGAACTAGGGGAGGTGGAAGGGGAGGAGGGCGGGGGTGGTGGTGAATGGGTGACGGGCACTGAGGGGGGCACTTGATGGGATGAGCACTGGGTGTTATTCTGTATGTTGGCAAATTGAACACCAATAAAAAATAAATTTATTATAAAAAAAAACTTAAATAAAAGACTTGAAACAAAACCCTTAAAAGAAAACATAGGCAGTAAGCTATCTGACATTAGTCTTGGCAGTATTTTTTTTGGATCTGTCTCCCGAGGCAAAAGCAAAAATTAACAAATGGGCCTACAAGAAAATAAAAACCTTCTACATGGTGAAGGAAGCCATCCACAAAACAAAAAGGAAGCCTACTGAATGGGAGAAGATACTTGCCCAATACGGGGTTTAACATCCAAAATACATTAAAAAACTCACCCAACTCAATATCAAAAAACAATCTGAGTAAAAAATTATCAGAACACCTGAACAGACTTTTTTCGAAGTAAGACATACAGATAAGTAACCAGCATATGAAAAGATGCTCAACATCACTAATCACCAGGAAAATGCAAATCAAACCCATAAGAAGAGATCTCCTCACACCCATCAGAATGGCTAAAATCAAGATGACAGGAAATTACAAATGTTGACAAGGATGTGGTGAAAAGGGAGCAGCTGTGCACTGTTGGTGGGAATGCAAATTGGTGTAGTCACTGTGGGAAGCAGTCTGAAGGGTTCTAAAAAAATTAAAAATAGAACTGCCATATGACCCAGCAATTGTACTTCTAAGTATTTATCCAAAGGATATAAACATAGTGATCCAAATGGGCACTGCCTCCCGATGTTTATAGCAGCCATGCCCACAATAGCCAAAACATGGAAAGAGCCCAGATGTCTATCGACAGATGAATAAAGAAGATGTGGCATATATATACAATGGAGTATTACCCAATTCCACTTCTTGGTATTTACCCCCAAAAAATGAAACGCACCAATTGGAAAAGACATATACAATCCTGTGTTCATTGCAGCATTATTTACAATAGCTAAGATATGAAAGCAACCTAATATCCATCATAGCTGAATCGATAAAAAAAAAAGATGTGGTTTATATATGAAATATATATGCAATATGACTCAGACATAAGAAATAATGAAATCTTGCCATTTGTGACAAACATGGATGGATCTAGAGGGTATTATGCTAAGTGAAAAAGTAACAAAACAGACCAACAGATACAGAGAACAAACTGAGGATTACCAGAGGGAACAGGGGTGGGAGGGATGGAGGAAACAGGTGAAAGAAATGAACAGGTATGCTATTCCAGTTATAAAATAAATAAAAGGAATATAATACAATAATCAGTAATATTGTAACAATTTGGTAAGGGGAAGTCACCAGCTACACCCAAGATCTGACGTTCACTACACAGTTCCTTGTACCCACTAACCTTTGTCCTGCATTTTTCCTGAAGCTCTTCTTTACAGCTTAGCCTTAACTCAGGTCAAAGACTCTATAGGCATAGTGTCCCTCGATGGAGACAGAAATGACTCCTCAAGCAAGAATGACTGCCCAGAGAAAAAGCGCTCTGGTGGCCCTAAACCCCTGACTCAGACTGTACAGATGGACCAGGGAGAGACCGCTGGAATGAACGACACTTACCTTTACCTCATCATAATACTAATGTAATACCAGGAGCACAAGCTTCATTTACGTAATAACCCATTCACTGGGCTTGAGGAGGCTCAGCCTTGAAAGTTATTCCCCCAATCTCGTTATTTGATGAAAATAAAGTCTCCTTGGTGCCACACTTCACCTGGTGTAGTTTTTGTCTGTGACTCACCAAGGAGCAAAGTCATGTTGGTTCAGTTACAGTAACAGATGTTTACTAGAGATAGTCAATGATATGGTAACAACTTTGCAGGGGAGGCTAATTAGACTTGTGTTCATTTCAGAAGCAATGTTATATGAACTACATATAAATGTGGACTCACTGTTACACCTGAAACTAATACAATGTTATATGTCAATTATTCTTCAATCAAAAAGACGAAACAAGTTTGTCCCATCATGCAGGCAACTTAACAGCAGGAGGAAAAAAGAAGGTAATTGTGATAAGCAAAATTAGCACTATCCTTTATTTTGACCACCCAAATCCTAAAGTGCTCAAACAGAACTAAAACAAATCAATAAATCTAAAACCATACATTCACAGAAAAACTATTAAGTTGTAATTTATTACTAAAAATAAAATAGCAAATTGTCCTGTACAACTACCAATACTCACTCAACTCTTCTGTAAAATGAAAACAAGAATAGCATTCACCTCACAGGTTTGCTCTGATTAAAGGAATTAATAAAACAATGCAATAGTGTCTATAAGTTTTTGCTCTTATTTTAATAGAAGGCATTGCTCTTTCTCCTCCAAGTTAAACAAGTCCAAAAAAAAAAAAAAAAAAATCCAGGGGCGTCTAAGTGGCTTGGTCTGTTAAGCCTCTGGCGTGGCTGGGGTCCTCCAGGTCCGGGCTCCTGGCTCAGCAGAGTCTGCTTTTCCCTCTCCTTCTGTCCTTCTGTCCTTCTGTCCGTCGCCTCCACCCCCTCATGCTCGTGCTCCTGCTCGCTCTTTCTCTCTCTCTCATAAATAAATAAATAAATAAATAAATAAATAAATAAATAAATAAATAAATAAAATCTTTAAAAAGAAAAAAAATCCAATACCTTGAATATGCATGATATTGCTTTTCCTTGTGGCTTTATTTTTTTTTTAATTTTTATCTATTTATGATATTCACAGAGAGAGAGAGAGAGAGAGAGAGAGGCAGAGACACAGGCAGAGGGAGAAGCAGGCTCCATGCACCAGTAGCCCGACATGGGACTCGATCTCGGGTCTCCAGGATCGCGCCCTGGGCCAAAGGCAGGCGCCAAACCGCTGCGCCACCCAGGGATCCCTCCTTGTGGCTTAAAAAAAAAAAAACTACTGGGGGGGGGGGATGTGCTGTGCATCAGCCACAGCTTTAAAGGTTAAAGTACTCATCTGATAGACGTCCCCATTAAGTAGCTCCAGGGGAGACTTCAAGGCGTCAAGCGCAACTAAAAGAGAAATGGAAGTCAAAGCTCCTACATCCCGCTTGCACGGATTCTGCCACTCCCCCGTACGGGGACTACGCAGCGAACCGCATCTACGAGTCTATTAAGAAGAGCGCGACACCGCGTCCCTCTTGGTGCGTCCTTCACGTAGACGTCGGTCAAGACCTCGAGACTCTTCCTACTGCTCCGTAAAATTCAGGAAGGGCGAGTCCGAGCAAGGAGAAAGGCCACGAAGACGCCGCGGCCGCGACGGGGGAAGCCAGCGCCCCCGAAGCCGCGCACGGGCCGCTGTTTCCCCTCGCAGGCCCTCGTCGTGTTCCGCGCGCAGAGCACCGAGGCGACCCGCCTCGGAACGTGTGACGCTGCAGTCAGGTGACTCGGCACCCGGCGGGCGGCGGCCGGCGGGCGGCGGGCGGCGGGCGGCTCCCGAGGCGGCTCCTCCGGGACCCCCAAGCCGCCCAGCGAGCCGCCGACAGGACCGGCGGGACGCGCCCCCGCACTCCCACCCGCCAGACTCCGACCAGGACCCGGCCACGTCCGCGGCCCCCGCCCCCCCCCCGCTGGCGCGCCCACTGCAGACCGCCCGCCGCGAACTCACCCCGGGCCCGCGGGGCAGGCGCTCGGCGCCCCGGGGGTCTGTCCGCCGCCGCGCGTCCCTCCGGGCGGCTACGGAAAGCGAGCGGAGTCAGGCCGCCTCCAGGCCCCGGTTCGCGCGCCCCGCAGCCGCGGCCCCGCCTGTGTGCCGGCCGCGCTCGGGGCCCTGCCGGCGGGGGGCAGGCGGCGGCCTCCGGGGAGGCGGGGCGCGCGGACGGGGGCGGGGCTGCGCGCGTCCTGGGCCTCCTGAGCGCGTCCTCCTGCCTCCGCCCCGCCGTCGGGTGGGAGCGGACGCGAGCGGCCTGCAAAGAAGGGGTCCGCCCTGCGCCCCGGCGTCCCCGAGCGTGCAGCTGCCCCGGACTCTGCCTTGGATCACGGTCCGAAGGCCGCCGCGCGGGAGGACCCGACCTGCAGACGCCCCATCGTCCTAGGATGGGGGCACCCGGGGTGTCGCCGACTGGCGGGGGGTGGGTTCGCCGCCCTCCCGGGGCCGGGGCCCGAAGCCCAAACCGCCCACTGGCCGCGCGACACTGGACTCGCAGCCGCAGTGAGGGACTCACCAGGTCCCGGCGACGGAGGGGGGTGAATGACCCCCCCGGGACGACCGGCGGCTCGAGCCTCGGGTAGGGGCGGGGCCGCAGGGGGTGGGGGCGGGGCCGCAGCGGGGTGAGAGGGGGACCCGGGCGGGGTAGGAGGGGACCCGGGCGGGGTAGGAGGGGGGACCCGGGCGGGGTAGGAGGGGACCCGGGCGGGGTAGGAGGGGGGACCCGGGCGGGGTAGGAGGGGACCCGAGCGGGGTAGGAGGGGGGACCCGGGCGGGGTAGGAGGGGACCGAGCGGGGTAGGAGGGGGACCCGGGCGGGGTAGGAGGGGGACCCGGGCGGGGTAGGAGGGGGGACCCGGGCGGGGTAGGAGGGGGACCCGGGCGGGGTAGGAGGGGGGACCCGGGCGGGGTAGGAGGGGGGATCCGGGCGGGGTAGGAGGGGACCCGAGCGGGGTAGGAGGGGGGACCCGGGCGGGGTAGGAGGGGGACCCGGGCGGGGTAGGAGGGGGGACCCGGGCGGGGTAGGAGGGGGACCCGGGCGGGGTAGGAGGGGGGACCCGAGCGGGGTAGGAGGGGGGACCCGGGCGGGGTCGGAGGGGACCCGGGCGGGGTAGGAGGGGACCCGAGCGGGGTAGGAGGGGGGACCCGGGCGGGGTAGGAGGGGGACCCGGGCGGGGTAGGAGGGGGGACCCGGGCGGGGTAGGAGGGGGACCCGGGCGGGGTAGGAGGGGGACCCGAGCGGGGTAGGAGGGGGGACCCGGACGGGGTCGGAGGGGGGACCCGGGCGGGGTAGGAGGGGGACCCGGGCGGGGTAGGAGGGGGGACCCGGGCGGGGTCGGAGGGGGGACCCGGGCGGGGTCGGAGGGGGGACCCGGGCGGGGTAGGAGGGGGACCCGGGCGGGGTAGGAGGGGGGACCCGGGCGGGGTCGGAGGGGGGACCCGGGCGGGGTAGGAGGGGGACCCGGGCGGGGTCGGAGGGGGGACCCGGGCGGGGTCGGAGGGGGGACCCGGGCGGGGTAGGAGGGGGACCCGGGCGGGGTAGGAGGGGGACCCGAGCGGGGTAGGAGGGGGGACCCGAGCGGGGTAGGAGGGGACCCGGGCGGGGTAGGAGGGGACCCGAGCGGGGTAGGAGGGGACCCGGGCGGGGTAGGAGAGGGGACCCGGGCGGGGTAGGAGGGGGGACCCGAGCGGGGTAGGAGGGGACCCGGGCGGGGTAGGAGGGGGGACCCGAGCGGGGTAGGAGGGGACCCGAGCGGAGCGGCGGTGGCGATTGCCCCCCTCTCAGGAGGGACCACCCTGGCCCCCACCGTGCGGTCAGGCTGCGGGAGCGCCTGGCTCGGGGGCCGCCTTCCCTCGGTTTCCTGTTAGGTGCCAGAAAGCTCCCGGGGCTGCAGCCTAGTAAAGGGGCGACGACGGGAGGTGAAGCCACGGCACTCGATGAGGCGACCGGGGGGTAGGCGGATGGGGAATTCGACCTCGGACGCAGCCTGGGGGGAGTCCAAACTGGTCGAGTCGGTGAGAGACAGGGAGGGGCAGCGATGGGGACCTCGTGGGACCGGCATTCTGGAAGTCAGGGAGGTGTTCTAAGGAAGAACAGCCACTAGGTGTCCCGTACTCATGAGAACGTAAAAGTGACCCGTGGATTTAGCAAGATGATTGTCACCAGTGACCGGCTCTGAAGTGGGCTGAGAAACGTGAGGCAGACAAGCGGCAGAAATCGCCACTATCGATAGTTTAAGCAGTTTTGCTGTGAAGAGCAGAGCGATTGTAGCTAAGAAAGCAGGAGAGTAAAAAAGATTTTGATTTCGTTTTGTTTCTGTTTTTGTTTGTTCTTAAAATGAGGAGATGCGGGGGCCCCTGGGTGGCTCAGTCGGGTCGCGACCGACTCTTGATTTGGGTTCGGGTCATCAGCTCGGGGCGGGGAAAGAGCCGGGCCCTCAGCGTCGAGGGGGCTGGCTCCGGGGCCTGCCCTGCGCCTCCCCCACTCCGCCACCCGCCTTTCCCCGCATCGAAGCGCTCCTGTGCTCTCTCTCTTGCTCCCTCTCGATTTTTTTTTTTTTTTTAAAGATCGATACTACGTGGTGCCTTGCAGACTTGAACAAGTAAGCCTCAGTGCCAACTACATTACGCGGTGACTTGTTACATGCTGCATATTTAAAATTATGAAAACAAAAAATTCACAAAACAATACTCTTGTTATGCAAAGCATTCTAATTTTTCATTTAAAGAATGCTGCTTACAACCCACTAAAAATATTTCCAAGACCCATTAATGGGTTGTAAACTGAGGTCTGAAAAACATTTTCAGGGGTGTATTAGAGCTGGCTCACACTAGCTTGCAAGAGCCAGTTTGGCCCATCTTCCATGTTAGTACCTTGAAATTGGCCAGGAATGAAAGTATATACACCACGTATATACTAGACATAGACGTACCGCTACAACCTAGCGCCTCACCCACCACCACCCCCGCGACCCCAAAGCTGAACGTTAGACATTTTTAGCACCACACTACTGACCCTACTCATATGATCCAGTAGAACAGAGAATGCTAAGAATGTAAGAGAAAGGGGATGGTTACAAGAGTGGCTCTTGAGATGATTTTGCCCTAAAGTCACAGAAATAGACATTCAGAATATCAGTTCAAAACAATGACATAGATGTTACAAATTATTTGCAGACAGTTCCCTTAGATTTCCTAAGCTGAAGGGATCATTTCTAGTTGGATCAATTTCTTTTTTTCATCTCTTTATTGTTCTTTCCTTACCCAAGAAAACATATTTATATAGTACAGTGTGGCTGCAAATTTAGAAATAGCATGATATAAAGTGTCTTATAAGCAAAATGTGAAATAATGTATATTGCCCCAGTTGTTAAAAACGTAGTAAAAAATGATCTTAGATGTATGAATTGAAACTGTGCGCTCTTGGGCAGCCCCGGTGGTACAGTGGTTTAGCGCTGCCTGCAGCCCGGAGTGTGATCCTGGAGACCGAGGATCGAGTCCCACCTCCGGCTCCCTGCATGGAGCCTGCTTCTCCCTCTGCCCGTGTCTATGCATCTCTCTGTCTCTCTGTGTCTCTCACGAATAAATAAATAAAATCTTTAAAAAAAAAAAAAAAGAAAAAAAAACTGTGCGCTCTTGCTTCTTGGTAGGATTAACACCTTAAAAAGAAATACCTGCCATAGTTTGTTAATAATGTGAATCCTGTTTAAAGGTAGGAAGTAATTCTGGTGGTGATTTTGCTTGTTATGGTGTTGAGGTGTTTTTGTTGCTATAATTAAAAATTTATTACCTCCATGCATTGATTGAATGGTGATGCCAGTGCTGGGAAAATATGCCCCAAATCAATAATTTTGGAATACAAGCTAAGTGTGCTAAAATAGTGTAAAGAACTTTAAATAACTGCTCTGATACATCATGCTGTGAATTTAGAAGTCAAAACTCTAGAACCTTTAGCCATAATCATGATATATAAAAAAGCAATATTTAAAAATCTGCCAAATTGTTACAGATTTATGAGTTCTGAGAATATACACTCACTTTTCATTTAGTCTCATGAGAAAATTAGTCTTGTATTGTTCAGATTTTAAATTATGCAGCCTTTAGGGCTGCATTATTTCAATTTTTTTTATTTCAATTATTATTTAAGTAATCTCTACCCAACTCAGGGCTCAAACTCATGATCCCGAGATCAAGAGTTGTATGCTCTACAGACCGAGCCAGCCAGGTGCCCCAGGAGTGCATTCTTGGAGTGCATTCTTCATGAAACCGTGGCACTTATATTTCTTAGACATAGGTCTACTTCCCAGGAAGAATTCATGATTGGTGTCATCAACCTCTTCTGACTATCCTCCCCTCTGTAAATGGACTCATTTCTTCTTTAAATCCCCTTGCTTTCAACTAATCTCTCTCTTTTTTATTTATTTATTTATTTTTTTTAATTTATGATAGTCACAGAGAGAGAGAGAAAGAGAGGCAGAGACACAGGCAGAGGGAGAAGCAGGCTCCATGCACCGGGAGCCCGACATGGGATTCGATCCCGGGTCTCCAGGATCGCACCCTGGGCCAAAGGCAGGCGCCAAACCGCTGCGCCACCCAGGGATCCCCAACTAATCTCTCTCTTAACCCCAATACTGGCACCACCCAAGGGCACTCAGCCTCTCTTTCAACCTTCAGATACCCTGTGTTCGGATTCAGCAGGCTTACCTCTTATGTTCTACAGGATCATGTCTCTAATCTAGTCTTTTTAGGTGTGAGAAACAAGCTTCTAGAACTATGGTTTTGTCATAAAATGAAAGAATCTTGAAGAAGTGAAAGATCTTCAGAGGATTGTAACTTACATTAATTCATCCCAGTGGCTCAAAGAATATGAGATGCTGTCCTATTTTTAAAATACTTTTCTTGGGGATCCCTGGGTGGCGCAGTGGTTTGGTGCCTGCCTTTGGCCCAGGGCGCGATCCTGGAGACCCGGGATCGAGTCCCACATTGGGCTCCCGGTGCATGGAGCCTGTTTCTCCCTCTGCCTGTGTCTCTGCCTCTCTCTCCCTCTCTGTGTGACTATCATAAATAAATAAAAAATTTAAAAAAAAGTATTTAAAAATAAAATAAAATAAAATACTTTTCTTGAAAGCCTTGGCAGACTATGATATGTTAACTAGAGAATACTATATTGTTACTTTACATGAGAATATATCTGAAATTACATAAATTTTTAAAGTGAAAACACAATAGAATACCTAAAGTACCATGTATATTATACTAGGTAACATTTTAGGCGCTAGAGATACAATAGGTAAAAAAACATAGCTTTGCTGGAGCTTATATCTAGTCAGAATTAGACAATAATTATACATATGTATTTTAAAATGCAAAAGAATGATGTCAGTAACTGTTAATGCTCATTGTGATCTTTTTCCTGCAAAGTAGGTGAGATTCTTGATACTATTGAAAGGCCTCCCTCAGCTCCGTGCAGGCAGTATCCTATGTAGCCAATGAGGTTTATCCGAGGTGCAATTATCGCTCATTAGAAAGGCCTCTCTCAGCAACCCAATCTGAATATTTAACCAGTCCTTCTCTTGCGTAGCTAATCCTCCTCCAGCTTGTATTTACACAGCTCATTATAAAACAAAGTAACAAGGAAAACCTCAAGGGAAGAATTTCTGAGTCAGGTTTGAGCAAGCAAGACATCCAGATAGTTTTTTCCAAGTAGAAAAATGTGATTGAGTCCATGTAATAAAAACCCCTTTTATTTTGAAAATGTCAAAACATACACGTGAGTGGAGAGATAGTACAATGAGTTTCCATTTACTCATTTCCAGCTCCAGCAATTATCAACATGGCCTATCTTCTTTCATGTGCACTTCATCCACTCCTCACCACTGGCTCATTTTCAAGAAAATCTTAACACTTCATTTAATCTCTAAAACTTAAAAACTGGGATCCCTGGGTGGCGCAGCGGTTTGGTGCCTGCCTTTGGCCCGGGGCGCGATCCTGGAGACCCAGGATCGAGTCCCACGTCGGGCTCTCGGTGCATGGAGCCTGCTTCTCCCTCTGCCTATGTCTCTGCCTCTCTCTCTGTGTGTGTGACTATCATAAATAAATAAAAATTTAAAAAAATAAAAATAAAAAAAAATAAAACTTAAAAACTGGTAGTTACACTTAATAAGACCCAGGTTCACATTTTTGGCCAGATTTTATAAGCGATGTGTACTTTCAATTGCAAGTCATCAGGAGGCACTTAATGTCAGTTTTTTTCTTTTTATGCTATCAAGACTGGCCAGTGATTTCAGATGATATTAGTCTGATTCCTCCATCACAACATTCTCAACAGTTTTTGACCCAATGGTTTTAACAGCTACCTGTTGATGGTCATTGCCTAGGTCCAGTATTTCATCAAGAACCGAAAAATGGGTAATATATCAATTCCATCATTCCTCCTATGTTTATGAATTGGAATTCTTGTATAAGGAAATATGGTTCAGTGACCCCAAGGTGAAGTTTATACTGGAAAGTCAAGGTAAGTGCTGAATTCTTTCCCTTTATGTAGAGATTTTTATGATAATAAGTCAATTCCCTAAGCTCCACAAAAGGTAACCAATGAATTGGGTTTTTTAAAGCTCATTATGAATTGATGAATATTAATATACTTGATATGTTTCTAATTTTTTTCTGATACTTAGACTATCCCATAACTTATCCCATATCCATACAGGTTATGCATAATTATCCCATTATCCCCTGAGATGGAACCCCCTTTGAGTTGGCTTCCGGGTTCTTTTGACACAACCTGGTAATCTTAGATAGTTTCCTTGCTTTGTGGTATGACAATATATCCCAAACTACCATTGTTATTTCCTGCCAAACCTGGACTTAGCAGTTTCTCCAAGAAACCTTTAAGTGGGAAATGGTATATATAGAGACCACAATTTTGACTAGAGATGCTTATGCCCGTGGGTTGGTTTCTAGACTTCTTCAATAGGTGAAGCTAGGGAAAATGTTTGCTTAAAAATATACATAAACATATTTAATAAAACATATATTAGGGGCAGCCCGGGTGGCTCAGCGGTTTAGCACCGCCTTCCGCCGAGGGCATGATCCTGGAGACCTGGATCGAGTTCCACACTCGGGCTTCCTGCAGAGAGACTGCTTCTCCCTCTGCCTGTGTCTCTGCCTCTCTCTCTGTGTGTCTCTCATGAATAAATAAATAAAATCTTTAAATATATATATATTGGGATCCCTGGGTGGCGCAGTGGTTTGGCGCCTGCCTTTGGCCCAGGGCGCGATCCTGGAGATCCGGAATCGAATCCCACGTCGGGCTCCCAGTGCATGGAGCCTGCTTCTCCCTCTGCCTGTGTCTCTGCCTTTCTCTCTCTCTCTGTGACTATCATAAATAAATAAAAAAGTAAAAATAAAAATATATATATTAAATGTAGAAATCTGTTTAAAAATATATATTTAGATAATTATAATTATATAAACATTGAAAATATATATTTAATTAAAATATATAAAATATAAATATATATCTGAGATTATGCTGATTTCATTCAATTTAGGATTATAATGTTTTCATTTAACTTTTTAATTTTATATTTCTACCTTATTTTTTAAAATAAAAATCTTGGTAAAAATATAGGCAGTCTGAGTGGCTCAGTGTCTTAGCGCCTAGGGCCTGATCTTGGAGACCCGGGATCAAGTCCCATGTCAGGCTCCCTGCATGGAGCCTGCTTCTCCCTCTGCCTGTGTCTCTCATGGATAAATAAATAAAATCTTTTTTAAAAAAATACAATAAAACAACATTAACATAATTCCTTATTTGCTTTATTCTATTATATATAATAGTTTGGGGAGAAAAAGTTAAATATTTGTTGTAATGATATTATTGCGAAACAAAATGAAGGTTTATATGTAGTTACTTTCTGTCTTTAAGCTATGTCTCACAAGAGATATACAATAATATTTCTGTGTTTTAAAGTAATTTGAGAGACACCTGGGTGGCTCAGTGCTTGAGCATCTGCCTTCGGCTCAGGTCGTGATCCCAGGATCCTGGGATTGAGTCCTGCATTGGGCTCCCTGCAGGTCTCCCTCTGCCTATGTCTATGTGTCTCTCTCATGAATAAATAAATACTATCTTTAAAAAATAATTAAAAATTAAATAAAGTTTAAAAGAAATATACATTTGGTCTTTGTCCCCTTTTCTGACACAAAGCTCCTTGTAATTTCCTAAGTGATGAGAGCTGTAAAGGTACATTTTGTAATGTTTATGAGATGACTTTTGGACCGATCTAAGGATGTAGGCTGACTGCCAGTGGAGGCAACCCAACCATGTGATTACAGAGTTGTGACTTTCTTTTTTTTTTTTTTAATTTTTTTTTTTTTAATGTATTTATGATAGTCACACAGAATGAGAGAGAGAGGCAGAGACACAGACAGAGGGAGAAGCAGGCTCCATGCACTGGGAGCCCGACGTGGGATTCGATCCTGAAGACCCAGGATCGTGCCCTGGGCCAAAGGCAGGCGCTAAACCGCTGCGCCACCCAGGGATCCGGAGTTGTGACTTTCAATCTCACCCCAACCTCTGGGGAAAGGAGAGGACCTGGAGATTGAGTTCAATCATCAATGGCCAATGATTTAATCAACACTGCCTCTGCAATGAAGTCTCCATAAAAATCCTAAAGAATGGGGTTGAGGAGCTTCCAGTTTGATGAACTTCTGGAGATTTGGAAATAATGGCAAGCTCCAAAAAGACATGGAAGCGCCATACCCTTTCTCCATACCTTGCCCTGCATCTCTTCCATCTCCTGTTTCTGAGTTCTATCTCTGTTTATAATAGACTGGTAGGCTAGTGAGTAAAATGTTTCTCTGAGTTGTGAGCTGCTGTAGCTACTGTGAGGAACTGAATCCAAGGAGGTGTCCTAGGAATCTTTGATCTATAGTGGCTCCTTCAGGAGCACAAGAGCAACTGGCATTTGAGGTGTGGCAGGGGGGTGGTCTTGTAGGACTGAGCCATTAAGGAATCTGATACTATCTCTGGGTAGATACGTCATAATTGGTGGGATGCCTGGGTGGCTCAGCAGTTGAGCATTTGCCTTCAGCCCAGGCCATGATACCGGAGTCCTGGGATCAAGTCCCACATCGGGCTCCCTGCATGAAGCCTGCCTATGTCTCTGCTTCTCTCTCTCTCTCCTCTCTCTGGATCTCTCATGAATAAATAAATAAAATCTTTAAAAAAAGATATCTCATAATTGGGTTGAATTGTAGGACACTCAGCTGGTGTTGGAGAATTGTTTGTTGGTGTGGAAAAACATCCCCTTCCCCCAACACACACAAACATTGGAATTTGGATACAGAATCCTTTAGTACTTGTTCAACCTGTGGATATTTGGATTGTTTCACATCTTTTCTGTCATAAATAATGCTTCGGTGTATAGCTTTGTGCACATCTTTTTGTATATTTGTACACTGTCTCTCTGGGAAAGATTTCTAGAAGTGGACTTTTAGTGTCAAAAGTTAAGCGCTATGTAATTTTGCTAGATAGGAGCCAAAGTACTTTTTAAAAAAAGATTTTATTTATTTATTCAAGAGAGACACAGAGAAAGGTAGAGACATAGGCAAAGGGAGAAGCAGGCTTCCTGCAGGGAGCCTGATGTAGGACTCTCGAGATCCCAGGACCCCGGGATCACAACCTGAGCCAAAGGCAGACACTTAACCACTGAGCCCCCAGGTGCCCCATGAGCTAAAGTACTTTTTGAGAATTCATTCGATCTTTTGTTTCTACTCCACCTTCGGGGAAGGTCCAGGCTACTCTGATGGAAAAGGGGTGCTGGAGGTGAGGCCTGAGAGGCTCTAGTGGAAAACCTGAGAGGGTGCAAAAACTAAAACCAAAGGAGTGAGCAGGACCAGAAATCACATGGAAGGCCAACATCAAGAAGCCAGGAAGGAAAGCTAGGAGATTTCAAATAGGGGCCAGGAGGAAATATGGAAGCTTCCGCCTAGGAAGTTTGGGAATAATAAATGCAAATGGGTTTGAAGCAAAGTGGGAAAGTCCAAGGTAAATAGCCCAGAACAGTACTACTCTTCTACACTCTTTTCTTGTCTGGTTGGCAAGGAATCATTGCATATGTTTATACAAGGGCAACTAGCTGAAGTAAGATATGGTCGCGGAAACAGAGTCTACACTTTATATGCCGAACTGGCATGATGCTGCATCTCCAGGGTAAAGGGATAAGGATGGGCTGAAGACCACCTTTTTCTAATTTGCACAAAAGTTGCCATATGTCCTAACCATACCTTGTTAAGATTGGCTGGGTTTAAGGGTGATGCAGAATGGGCAACAATCATCCAAAACCTCCTTTCACCTTAGTGATTATATTCACTTTTATTCTCTATAATTTAGCTATAGTTTAAGCTATAATATTGTACTCTAAAACTACCTCTAATAGGAAAGCAAGGCTAAATGTTATGGTCTCTTGCATTTCAGCCATAGTAAGGAGTTGTTTATTTTAATAAAATAATTTCTTTTAATAAATTTTTTTTAATGAAAATGGATTTTAGGTAAAACTGATTGCCAACTGGTGAAACCTGTGTTATGTGAGGTTGATGACTTTTGTTAATTTGCAGATGGGAAAATGAGGAAAACAGCAAATTATACATTACCTGGAGATGTTCTAGAGCTTTATTTATGAGCTTTGAGCTTTAAGTTGAAAAAGACAGGGAACTCAGTGCTGGCTTGACCATATGCTGGTTTAAGTAAATGGTCTGTAAATATTTCTGCCCACATAACCTCTAATAGAATTTTGAAAAACTATGTAACCTTTCCTCTAACATGGTACTGGAAGTCCTTGCTAATGCAGTAAGACAAGACAAGAAAAAAGAAAAGGTGTACAGATCGGGAAAGAGACATAAAACTGTCTTTGTTCACAGATGACACGATCATCTGTGTGGAAAATCTGGAAGAATCAACCAAAAAACTACTGGAACTAATAAGTGATTATTGCAAGATTGCAGGATACAAGGTTAATGTACAAAATTCAATTGCTTTCTTATATACCAACAATGAATAAGTGGAGGGTTTTTAAAAAGGTTTTATTTATCCATTCATGAAATGGCAGAGACATAGGTAGAGGGAGAAGCAGGCTCCCTGCAGGGAGCCTGATGTGGAACTCAGTCCCAGGACCCCAGGATCATGACCTGAGCTAAAGGCAGACACTCAACCACTGAGCCACCCAGGGATCCCTAAGTGGAGTTTTAAATTAAAAACATAATACCATTTATATTAGCATCCCCCAAAATGAAATACCCAGGTATAAATCTAACAAAACACATAGGAGATAAACTACAAAACTCTGATGAATGAAACCAAATAAATGGAGATATATTCAATGTTCATGGGTAAGAAGACTTGTTATTATCAAGATGTAGATTCAATGTAACCTCAATCGAAATCCTAGCAAGCTATTCTATGGATATTGACAAAATGATTCTAAAGTTTGTATGGAGAAGCAAAAGACCCAGAATAGCCAACACAA